ATAGCAATGCCTACATGGTAGCGGGTGACTTCTATGTTCCCGTCAACAGCAAGGCCCCCTACGGCAATATCAACTAAAACTGTGACGCAATTAAAGAATATTATCGAAAATTAAAAAAAAAAAATCGTTTTGTTTAAGAACTAATTAGCATCGCACCTAATTTTTAGTATATACATACATATATTGATACGGCTGTCAGCTTAGTAAGAGCTTATAACGTTTCGTTGTAATACTATTTCCATGCCATCTAATTCGCATGTCTAATTTAACTATCGCGGGTGTGACAAATTGTCAATATTAATATAACTGTTGGTCCCAATTCTTTAACACTCGTGTACTGTTACCCCAATAAGATGAAGTTAATTTGACTGTTAGCTTTGTGTGCTGCAATTTGCAAATGTGAGTAATACAAATCAGAAATTCCATAAGACCTACTTTAACCAGTCCTCAGCCTTCTTTCGAGAAGGTGAATGGGGAACACGGATGGTATATGCCTAACGACGATGGCACCCTTCAGTGGATACACAAGAAAGAAGCAGGTGGAATGCTTCCAGCCCTCACTGAATAGAAAAACCAAGCGGCCATTGCAAAGCTCGTGAAATATTATTTATTATCCCTGGTGGCAACTAACATAAAGTCCGAAAAACTCAGCGCATAGAACCTATTGCCAAGTAGATCTCTTTCATAGCTGAGGCATACTTAAGTATGGACAGATTTCAAATATTTATGCGTATCATCTAATGGTATGTAGTGTGCCTACTTTAAGTTCTTAGTGTATCCCAGCAGAGACAAGTTGATTAATTTTCCGGTGTGAAAAGTCAATCAAAAGATCAAAGATACAATGCGTATTACAGATCCTTTCATTGCGATATCTACTTATGTTTGTCCTATAAGAAACCATTGCTGGCTGGAATTCCTTATCAGTCGAACTATCGGATAATTTTAATTATTACTGGTGATATTTTCAATAACGACTACTTATAATTTCCATACAGCTGCGGTCTGCTTTATTCCTGACACTCAACATATCAATGGAGAGAATGGCTGGCTCATCCCTACATGCAATAGCAGCTTTTTTTGGATCGATCTGGCTGACTCTGAATTTTTGTCTGCACTATTGACTAATATAACTGGGGGTTTTAAAGCGCAATGGAGACAAGGTCAATGTCCCCCGACAAATATCAACTAAAACGCAATTCAAGAATATGATCGAAAATAATAAAATCTTGTTTTGGTTAACAGGGTATTTTCTGGCCAAATAGCATCACAATTAATCTTTAGTATATACATACATATATTGTATTAGAATTCAATTTGGAGGCATAAAATATATAGGCGCTTCATCGTAAAATTATTAAACGCCATGTAATTTTCATGTCTAATCTAAATAACGAATGTGACAAATTGTTTATATATACAACTGTTTGTCCTAAGGCCTTAATAGTCGTGTAATGCTATGCCAACAAGATGAAGTTGATTTGGTTCTTAGCTTTGTGTGCTGCAATTTGCAAATGTGAGTAACACAAATCAAAAAATCTATAAGACCTACTTTAAACAGTCCTCAGCTAGTACATACGCGATGGATTTGTCCGAGAACGTGAATGGGAAGAACGGATGGTATATGCCTAACGACAATGCCACCCTTCAGTGGATAGGCGAGAAAGAAGCAGAGGAAATGCTTCCAGCCCTCACGGAACAGAAAAACCTAGCGGCCATTGCAAAGCTCGTGAAATATTATTTATTATCCCTGGTGGCTGCTGTAACTCCTGTGCTGAAACTCCTTATCACTCGAAATAAATCTGTGGACTTTCGGATGATTTTAATTATTACATGTGATTGCTTTATCTCCTTAACAACTACTTTTATTCCGATAAAGCTGCTCTCTGCTTTACTCCTTACTCTAAACATATCAATGAAAAGAATGGCTGGTACATACCTAGATCCGATGGCAGCTTTTATTGGATGGATAAGGGTCTTGCAAGTTGGTTGCTTAAACTGATCGAAATCATAAAGTATGAAAAACTACAAAAAACTCCGATCGACTTCTAGCTGTTCACCCTGTCGAACCCCACCGAGGGCACCAAGATCACAGCCAGCAGCAATTCCATTAAGAACTCCAATTTCAATGCCAATAACCCAACCAGGTCAATACAAAATAAACAAACTGAGAGTTTCGTTTGCCAGAATTGGCAAGCCAGGTGATTTCTAAACCATAAACTATTTACAGATTTATTATCCACGGCTGGCTCCAAGACGGCTCATCTGACATGAACACGAATATTCGCGACGCCTTGCTGAGCAATGGTGACTACAACGTCATCGTCGTAGAATGGCCTAGTGCAAAAAACTGGTTTTATGCTACCCCAGTTGTGGCTGTAGCCATCGTGGGCATAAAGGTCGCCGACATGGTGAACTATCTTGTCTCCGACCATGGATTGAAATTTGACACTCTGCACGTCATCGGACACAGCCTGGGTGCCCATGTGGCAAAGTGCACACCATCATCGGTCTGGACCCCGCTCGACCATTTTTCAGCTACATTCAACCCGGCAATCGTATATCCTCTGACGATGCCTACTACGTAGAGTCCATTCAGACCAACGGCGGTAATGAAATGAAACCTTCAGAACTTAATTAACAAAAACATTACATTTAAAATTTGGAAGCTCTAGCCTTAAAGGTGTAGAAGATATAATTAAAAAACTAGATTTCGATAAGGATTTTAATCGATAGTAAAATATCGGGAGTTGTTATAGATTTTTAGTGATAAACTCGATATGCGCGAGATACACACGGATCTAGGAAAAAAAATTTCAAGTCTCTAGCTCTTATATCTTCTGAGATTGACGCGTTCATACATACGGACGGACAGACGGACAGGGCTAAATCAACTCAGCTCGTCGACCTGATCAAGAATATATATACTTTGTGGGGTCTGCCACGCCTCCTTCTGCCTGTT